CGCCTGTCACCGACTTGGAATGTCTGGGCAGACTAGCTCTCCGGCTGTTTTGTCTATTGTATCTCAAAGGCTTAGAACAGAGCCTGGCACAAAGTAGGAACTCAATAAATCCTAGCTCAATAAATGAATGAATCAATGAAAAAATCCGGAAAAAGCATTAGTGGCCAGACCTGGGGCTCTAGATCTCTCTCCCACTGCCAAAGGACCCCCAAATATGCCAATCTCCACTCCAGGCCCCCTTGGTTTCCTATTGGATGCCCAAGGACTGGTCTGGCTCGCCTTTCTCCTTTCTCTGAGGGTGGGCAAGGCTCCAGGACTGGCCTCTCAGGATGGGTGGGTGGGGCTGCCCTTCTTCGGCCACCTGTTCTCCCAAGTGACATCGGCACCCATTCTGTGGGCTTTAGGGTCCTTTAACACTTGCCAGAGTAGGGCATCAGCCCAGCTGATTGCTATGTCCAAGCCTCTGAGCCCTCAAGGGCCATGGACTCTTTCCCCGACTTCAGAATGGGCCCATTCTCTTTCATTTCCACCATCCCACCCCAATTCATGAGAGCCATTTCTTCTCTCCACTTCTGGGAGCCTCACAGAGGGAAATCCACCCTGGCTGTTGCTTTCTCAGTCTTCCTGCAAATTTCACCAGGTTCATCCTCTTCACAGCAGAGCAGGACTCTCATCTTGTCACTTTCTAACTCACAACCTCCACAATATCCTTGATGCCTGACACCTTCCTCACTGGCCATGCCCCTCACCCTGGGGTTCAAGAACCACCACTACCTGATGTACCCAGGGCTTTCCTATAACCTAATGGTCTCACATAGCTGCTTGCCTTCCTCATCCTGTCAGCCAGCCTTTCACTCAGCCTTCTGGATTCTTCAACGGCCCTGCTTGGTTATTGCCAGGTTCCAATCTCCCCACTGCTGCCACCACACGCACTGCCAGAAGTCGGTCTCCTTGTTTAATCTTTTCAGTCCTGTTTTCTCATTCATAAAATGGAGATATAATACTCACCTCTCAGTATGCGACAAGGTTTTAAACACTTAGAAAAATGGCACATAAATAGTAGCCGCTAATGCTCATATTTCCACTCCTAGGATCCATGAGGACATGAAGAAATACAGTGTGCAGCACACAGTATTTGAGCAGGAACTGAAGACCTTCCTCTTCCTACTTATGGTATTTTGTAGCTCTTATGGCAACACTGTCATCATCTATAGTTTTATTTATTTTTCAATTTTTTCCAGCATTGATGATTGAACTCAGGGGTGCTCTACCACTGAGCAACATTCCCAGCCCTTTTTACTTTTATTTTGAGACAGGGTCTTGCTAAATTGCTGTCAGCCTTGCTAAGTTGCCCAGCCTGTCCTCAGACTTCCAAGTAGCTAGGATTACAGGCATGTGTCACTATACCTGACTATAATTATTCTTTATATTACTAGTATAATACTAGTTATTAAGATAGGAATAAAAGAACTGGTGATTGCCCAGATTATGACTATCAGGTGACTTGCAAATACTCTGTGAATTGCAACCAATGAAAGTGGTGTAGCTTGTGAATTTATTACTATTTAATACATTTTGACATAATGGAAAGACATAAATGTGTTTGGTCTATGAATTGACGTAGCTCACTCAGAACACCCACAGTCCCTTTTGGCTGATCCCCAAGCCCATTGTTGTCTCAGAACAAGTTCCTCTGACTTGGGCAGATGCCCATGGACTTGTTTTTCTCCCTGTGTTCTGCATCTCATACACACATACCCATGTTGCCAGGAAATGTTGGTGACCGTAAGTTGGCAGATAGGTGGTTTCACACCTGCCTCTTCAGAGCTCCAATGTCTGGGAATATCTCAAAGTCTCAGAGGCTGTGTGTCTCAGATAGCCAAGGCTCATGTGACTGTGTCCTGGAAAAACTGTGCCTGACCTCAGTTTTTGACATACACAAATACATTGAGAATGAGAATGGAGTCCAAAGTCGTTTTACAGATGAGCAAACAGAGGCCCAGAGGGGAAGGGACTTGACTGTCTCATGACCACCACCCTTTACGGCCAGAGGGCTCTGCGG